TCACCCTGAAACTGTTTGGGCTACAATATTATAGAAATAAAGGTAAAGGTAAAGGTTTCCCTCACACATACGTGCTAGTCGTTCCCGACTCTTAGGGGGCGGTGCTCATCTACGTTTCTAAGCCGTCTGTGGTCATGTGACTGGCATGACTCAACACCAAAGGCGCACAGAACGCTGTTACCTTCCTACCAAAGGTGGTCCCTATTTTTCCACTTGTATTTTTTATGTGCTTTCGAACTGCTAGGTTGGCAGAAGCTGGGACAAGTAACGGGAGCTCACTCTGTTATGCAGCACTAGGGATTCGAACCGCTGAACTGCCGACCTATCAATGGACAAGCTCAGCGTCTTAGCCACTGAGCCACTGCATTCCTATTCTAGAAATACAATATGTCTTATCAGAAATAGGGAGAGTATAGCCAGATACCTTGTGTTGCTACTTCATCTCCTGCTATCTTCTAATAGGAATTTTACATCCCCATTTTCTTACCTCTAGATCAGCTTCAAAGTTCACATAGAAGTTACTTCCAAACAGAAGATTCTTCTCCTGCGGTCCTTTTGTGAGTGAGGTCTGGTCCAGTTTTCAGGATACCATTGACCTACTAGTGCACTTAGGGGAGAATACGTGAGTGGATAGGGGAATAGAAATAGTTCATAAAGTTTAAGTATAAATATTGTAGTAGCTCCTTCTGTAAATGGAAGGGTAGAGTCCCTTGGGTTTTTTTTTTTTTTTTTTTACACAGAGTGTTTGTTTTTATTTTAAGTGGCTCTTGTGCAGAGCACCTGAAAACAAAACACACAACCAAAACTCTCAGAAAATTGGCAGTGGGAACAGGGTGTGGTTAAAGCTTATATCTTTTAATTTGTGCTGCCAAAGGGCTAAGGTATGACATGCAGAAAAATAATAATAAAGCCTTGTTTGTTTATTTGTTTTTTGGAGGTGAGGGGACAGGAACTGATTTTAGGGTTTCATTGTCTCAACTCTGTAACACAAAGCCCCCTAAAATGCATTTTTAATGAAATCAAATTAGAAGAACAAGGGGATAACATTACAGCTATAGAATAAAATCGCACCACATTAAAGCCGCCTTGTATATATTACATAATTAAGCAAGATTTAATTAGGGTGAACATGGGGAAATCGTTCCGCCAGCCCACAAATTTTCATATAGGATTTATCTAGGAAAGAAGTACGATGATTCAGCTGTGTTTTGGCACTGGGATGTTGCTTTGGGTCAGTAGCTGTAGGTGAGATTTAGGAAGTAATGAAATCTATACGGTTGCTTCCACAGGGCAAAGAGGCTATATATGCGCCTCTTTAAACATTGATTTACCCCAGACACATCTCAAGGCAATTATAAAAAGCTGGAAAAAAATGCATAAGCAGGGAGGAGCATAGACTCCTGGTTCTCCCTGCAGTCTTTTTCCCATTTGAGGATCTTTGCTTTGATGTCAGTTCCCTTCTAGTGGCCGGGGGGGGGGGGGGGGGGGGAGAGGAAAATAAACAAGGAAAAGCACCTTCCTTCTTATCTGCATAATGAGTAACTCAGGGGCAGAGTGACTCAAGAAACTCTTTCCATTATGTCTTATGTCTTGAATTTAGTAAAATGAATGCTGGACTAAAACTTCTCCTGTAAGACCTGAACAGAATCTCTCTCTCCCCCGCTCCCTCTCTCTCCCTCCCTCACTCTCCCCCCTCTCTCTCCCTTTTTCTCTCTCTCTTTGTCTCTCTCCCCCTTCCTCCCTCACTCTCCCCCCTCTCCCTTTTTCTCTCTCTTTCTCTCTCTCCCTCCCTCTCTCTGTGTGCGTGTGCTATCCATATCAGCAGTGATCCCAACTTTGACCACAGGGAAGGGATTGGAATAAGATGTCCGCTGAAAAAAAATTCCCCCTTGTTTTCTGCCACGTTTAATAAAAGCTTAATGCTGACTCAGGGCTCTGAGAAATGTGTCCTGAGCTACATTTTCTGTATAGTTTCCGTAGATTAAATTCTTTGTGTTTTATGCTTCTCTGTGAATCCGCTATAGATTCATCTACCTGTGCACACAAGTAGATAAATGTATATACAAGAACACAGAGAGATAAATTGTCTAAACAAACCGTTTAAGCAGCTTATAGCTCTGTATATATAATCAAATCACCAAATAGTTAACAGGCTGACACACGGATATAATAGCATCAGAGGTTGAAAGAGGGCCGTTTTTGACAGTGAGCAAGCCTTTAAATTCCATTAAATTGAGGTCACTGGATAAATTTATGACTCTCCCTCCGCATCCTGCATAACTGATGCTCAGTGGTATTTGGTGCTTCGGAGCTTATTGCATATTTCATGCATGTAAATGTATATCTCGAAACAAGTCCTGGGAATAGCTATGGCCATCTGCATTTTATTTCTAATAACTTCTCACCGAGGATTCACTTTTAGTTGACAGTTGAGAATTACATTCTCCCATCTTCTCTCTCCTTGCCAGTATATATATTATCTCCTTCTATGTTTGCTGTTTGGAAAAGCATACGAGTTTCTTACTGGTGACCTGAGCAACTCATCAATAAACTTTCTCGCCTATCTTGTTTCCCCCCGAAAATAAGACCCAACCAGAAAATAAGGCCTGGCATGATTTTTCAGGATGCTCATAATATAAGCCCTATCCCCAAAATAAGTCCCAGTTAAGATTGTCAGCCAGATGGGTGCATTTTGTCCTGTATTTCCCCCAAAATAAGACCTAACCAGAAAATAAGCCCTAATGCGTCTTTTGGAGCAAAAATTAATATAAGACCTGGTCTTATTTTCGGGGAAACGCTGTACATTTTAAAGCTTGGTACCCTTTAAAAAAAAAAGTCGACAGCAAGTTAGATCTGTTTCTGTCTTAAACAAAACCGAAAGAAATAAGGACATTTATTTCTACTGCTGTTCTTGCTTCATTTCCTCGCTCTCGCTTATCTATTCTGAAGGAAAGAGTGTTTCTAATTGGAAGTCCCAAAGGTGCTTTTTCAGGAGGGTAACTGGACTTTCTCGTTTTTTTCTTTTGAAGACGTTTCGCTTCTCATCCAAGAAGCTTCTTCAGCTCTTGACAGGATACTGGGGAATGGATGGGAATGAAAAATCCCTTTGGGACAACCATGGCCTGGATGACTCATAACATCTCTACAAACTTTCTAATTCAGTGTTTCTCAACCTTGGCCGCTGGACGATGTGTGGACTTCAACTCCCAGAATTCCCCAGCCAGCAGAGCTGGCTGGGGAATTCTGGGAGTTGAAGTCCACACATCGTCCAGCGGCCAAGGTTGAGAAACACTGTTCGAATTGGAAGTTTCTTGATCCTGTGTGTAAGTTCAAGTTTTTAAGTGGAAAATTACATAAAAGGCTGAACCAGAAAAGGCTCGTCTGTATAAAACGTGCTGTGTAAACACATCCTTTGTAATCTTGCACACAAAAGCTGTTCCTGGTTGCGTGTGCGTGCATGTATGTGGCAAAGAGAACAATTCTGCTGGGGCTCCCATCAGGAAGGCTTCAAGTCGGCTGGTTGGTTTGAAGGAAGAGACTTTCCCACACGCTGACATGTTTTGCAAAGCATCCTTTTCTTTTAATGAAGACCACAGCAAAGTTGTGCCACGATCTCATTGACAAGACAGAACATTCAGCATTTTGGCCTTTTGGCCAGTTCTTAACAGAGACACGGCTATGATATTAACCTTTTCTAATTTAAATGGCGGCGAGCAAGACAAGGCCCGGTGTCCGTGGTTTCATTTGAATCTAGCTGTCAAGTAAAATAATTCAAATTTTGCTTGATTGATTCTGTTGTTTCTGTCGTTTGTAATACTTAACAATAGCTTCTGCTGTTCCTGTGATTCTGACAAATTGCGAGTCCCTGAAGTTTAAACATTGATGTGGGATGTTTCTTTAATTATTTGGCTTAATTGGACATTTCATGCAATACCTGATAAAGAGCCATGACCTTGCTTCACATTGAGGAGTCTGTCATCTGCACCTCTATAACTGTCTGGTTTGGTTCTGCAACCCAACAAGACAGACACAGACTTCAGAGGATAATTAGAACTGCAGAAAAAATAATGGCTACCAACCTGCCTTCCATTGAGAACCTGTATACTGCACGAGTCAAAAAGAGGGCTGTGCAAATATCTACAGACCCCTTGCATCCTGGACATAAATTGTTTCAACTCCTACCCTCAGAACGACGCTATAGAGCACTGCACACCAGAACAACTAGACACAAGGACAGTTTTTTCCCAAACGCCATTACTCTGCTAAACAAATAATTCCCTCAACACTGTCAAACTATTCACTAAGTCTGCACTACTATTAATCTTCTCATTGTTCCTATCATCCATCTCCTCCCACTTATGACTGTATGACTGTAACCTTGTTGCTGGTATCCTTAAGATTTATATTGACTGTTTCCTAATATGATTTGATTGCTTATCTGTTCCCTATGACTATCATTAAGTGTTGTACCTTATGATTCTTGACGAATGTATCTTTTCATTTTATGTACACTGAGAGCATATGCACCAAGACAAATTCCTTGTGTGTCCAATCACACTTGGCCAATAAAGAATTCTATTCTGTCCTGTCCTGTCCTGTCTTGTCCTGTCACCGGGCCTTGTTTTGCAGTCATAGACTTACTTATATTTGTTGCATTTGGAGAAATGTATCATTACATCATCTGGAATTATTCTGTACAAATGCTCAGGTATCCATATGGACCTGACAAATGTACAACCTATCTGAGATTTAAGAAATGAAATGAAAAGGGATAATTTTTATCATTAAATGGAATACTAAATGCCACGAAACTCCACTGAACGTCTAAATAATTATTGCCATGAAATGTTAATATTTATTAACTTAAGAATTTTCTACTTGTGCTCTTGGAATTTTTGAGAACAATCATAGAAGATGTTATTATTGAAAACAATCCGGAAGCTGGAATGTTTTTCATGTGTGATTTTCTGAGACGTTTTGCCCTATTCTGTCCTTTACAGAACAAAACTGAACTATAACTCTCCCAAGGATGATGGATCCGTGTATAAAATTGAACTTGAAGGGATATCTGTGGATACCATGAAAGAGATTCTGGACTACATCTTCAGTGGCCAGGTATGTGTTACTAATCCTAATCCTCCATAATGTCTTCAGGAATATTCTGTGCGCACATACGTGTATCCAGTCGCAATTCTGACCATGTGCGCTCAAAAGTAAGTCTAGAGATATAAGTTAAATCTCTTACAAAATAAGTTCATAAAACAGAAATATTTCACAATGAATCCTGGCCGGTTTCTGATGGATCTCCTGGTGGATCACTAAAAACTTCACAAAGTTAAAATAGACTTTGCCCCAGTTTGTCAAACGCTCATTTCATTCTTAAGCATCATGTGATTGTTCAAAGAGATTATGGTTTGTTATCTATTGAATTCTGAATATACTCTAGCATCCATTAAGAAAATGCAGCTGGAGGAGATTGGAAGTCCAAGTGGGGAATCTCACTTCTGCAGCAGCCAGCCAAACACTTTGCCGAAAGTTGCAAACCCCAAGGGAAATCAAAACATCTGCTATGTGTTCTGTGACTCTGAAAGCCAAGTTAGAAATAGAATAAAAGAGTTGGAAGGGACCTTGGAGGTCTTCTAGTCCAACCCCCTGCTGGCTGGCCATAACACCTTTTGTATTTTTCTAGCACTCCACTTTTACTTGTTTATTAATCTAACGTACTAACATATAGCAAGGTATCTGGAGTCTGACTCATGCCTTCGTCATAACTGGGCTGTACTTTTCTGCCCTTGAACCCTAGATCAAGCTAAGCGAAGAAACCATCCAGGATGTGGTACAAGCTGCTGACCTGTTGCTGCTTACGGACCTGAAAAAGCTCTGTTGTGAGTTTCTGGAGGGTTGCATTGCTGCTGAGAACTGTATTGGCATTCGGGACTTTGCACTACACTACTGTCTCCTCCACGTTCACTACCTGGCCTCAGAGTATCTTGAAACACACTTCCGGGATGTCAGCAGCACAGAAGAATTCCTAGAACTCAGTCCTCAAAGACTAAAAGAAGTCCTCTCCTTGGAGAAGTTAAACGTCGGGGATGAAAAACATATTTTTGAAGCGGTCATTCGGTGGATTTCCCACGATCCCGAATTAAGAAAGGTACAGAGTCCAAAAGTTAACTTTTAAGATGTTTGGATAAAACGTACGGTTATTTGCTCATGTTGGTTTATTCGGATGCTTCTAATGTTGGATGTTTGGCTCCTGCTTTGGAACATGGTCATTTAATGTTTGCTCTGCTTCGATTCTCCTTGCTCCTGTAGTTCCTACATCATCCCATACAGGTAGTCCTCGACTTACGACCAAAACTGAGCCGAGATTTCTGTTGCTAAGCAAGACATTTGTTAAGTGAGTTTTGCCCCATTCTGCAACTTTTCTTGCCACATTTGTTAAGTGAATCACCACAGTTGTGAAGTTAGCAACACGGTTGTTAAGCAAACCTGGCCCTCCCCATTGATTTTGTTCATTAGAAGGTCACAAAAAGTGATCACGTGACCTTGAGACACTCTTAACCGGTTATGAGTCGGTTGCCAAGCGCCTGAATTTTGATCCGCTGAACATGGGGATGCCGCAATGGTTGTAAGTGTGAAAAACAGTCATAAGTCACTTTTTCGAGTGCCGCTGTGACTTTGAATAGTCACTAAACGAACTGCTGTTAAATTGAGGACTACCTGACCTCCAGGATATCAGCAGGCATTATTCACTGTCGAATTCACCATCTTAGCTGCACCATCAAGAACAGTTGTTTATCTAAAAACTCAGGAGTAGGAATAAAAGAAAGCTAAATTTTGTCCTAACATCATATTCTCCATTTTGGCAGAATTGGAACATTTATTGCAACCATATGTATTATTCAACTTGTAAATAGACTGTAGAATTTCTTGTCATTGCTTTTTTTTCTTTAGGCACACCCCTGCCCCCCCCCCTTCATTCATTACAAGACTTAGTCGTTGGAACCATTTATTCTTTATTTATTTAGAGTATGGCAAATATATGGACTTATAGTCGTTTAAATATTAATGTCCAGTCCGCTCAGCTTGTTGAAAAAAAATGAGACATTGGGCTGCTGTGATAATGGACATTTGGACACAATGTGGTGGATATTTTGTCGAGGAACACCACAGTCACACAGAGACAAGACCCCACTAAAACAATGAGTCCAGGCAGACACCACGTTGGGTACGGATTCTGTTCAGAGTTGACCAATGCTGGCGAGGAAGGTCAAAACCTGGCAGACCCTCCTTCCACACCGTATCGTATGCTGCAGTAAGGTCGATGAACACAGCTGTGGTTTTTAAGCCTCGCTGGAAACCAGCCTCGATATGTCCTGTTAGACTCAGCACCTGATCTGACGAAAGCCGGTGTTTATCTGTTGCCATGTATTTAGAGAGCCAGGAGTTCTACAAAGATGCCTGACTGCCAGCTGTCGTTAACTTCCAATTCTTAGATGTAGTCTGGCTGCCAATTGTTGCTAAGTCGTTTGGTTCACACTACCATGCTATCCAGGATGCACCATGAGGAGGCAAACTAGCATCACACCCAATTTATTCTCTAATTTGGATAATTTGGCCTACAATTGCTGAAACCTTGATAGAGCCTTGGTAGTACAGTGGTCTAAGGCACCCTGTTATTAAGCTGGTTATTAAGACTAGATGCCTGCAATTACTGCAAATTCAAATCTTGCCAAGGCTCAAGGTCGACTCAGCCTTCCATCCTTTCTGAGGTAGGTGAAATGAGGACCCAGTTTGTGGGGGCAATAAGCTGACTTTGTATAAATATACAAAAGAATGAAGGCTATTGCTTAGCGCATTGTAAGCCGCCCTGAGTCTCCGTAGAAGGGCGGCATATAAATCAAATAAAAAAAAAAAAAAAAAACCTGGTCTAGGATTTCCTGCCATGCCGAGGTGGTTCATAGCAGCATTGGTCTCCTGCAAATATAGTCCTTACCCTGCCACTGCTTCCCCCCTCCGAAGTTGCCCCTCTTCCTGAGAAAATGTCAGCATTCTGATGCTGCCATAAAAAGACAAGGCTTGACTTTTCACCTACTTATTTTCTCTGTAGATAATATCCCCTAGGAGATGGGATGGGAGGGGGGAACATTCCTGTGGGGTGAGGTCAGAAGCTGGGGAGACTGACTTGGAAGATGGCCAATGAGAAGATGAGAATTGGGGAACGGAAAGGGAAGGGTTTGGGGGGCAGAGGGTTAGTATTGGCTACGACGAAGTCGGGGCCAGATCTGTCGTACTCAATAAATGGAATATTTCAGCAAAGATTAATTGTTTGGGAGTGCAATTTATTTGAGATGACATCGAAACCTGACAGAAAGTCTTTTTAACAAGAAAAGTTTAAGCACAAACTTGTCTGTAAAGCTTGTGGAGTTTAGGTCATTTTTTGATTTCCGTTATCTTTGCGGCTCTTCAGGTTCATATGAAGGATGTTATGTCAGCTGTGTGGGTCACTGGATTGGACTCTACCTACTTGCGTGAACAAATGATGAACGAGCCATTGGTTCGGGAGATTGTCAAAGAATGTAACAACATTCCACTCACTCCCCCCCAGCAAGAAGAGGCGATGCTGGCTTCTTTTAAACCCCGGGGATACTCTGAGTGTATCGTGACTGTCGGGGGTGAAGAAAGAGTGTAAGTAATTAATGAAAGTAGCTATGGATCTCATTTGGCAAGAGAAGGAATCAGAAAGACGACGCCATAAATTTGACATAAAGGTCAAACACACCATCCAAGAAATGTTTGAGATTGCAGTAGTAGAGAATAAATGGAGCTTAAATGGTTGGGTTTTTGGTGGCCTGACCTTACTTTTCCTGCAAAAATGTTTCGTTATCAAGCTAAGTCCATCATCGGGTAGACTACTGATGTCACCTGGCTTGGTAACCAAACATCTGCAAGAAGAAAAGCAATACTGGAAAAGACCAAGAATCTCATGAGTTTGAGAATTATGGATTGCTTTGAGACAGTTATTGTTCTGACCTAGGCTTCCCAAGAGCATGAAGCAGACTCCTTGTCCCGACAAAAAACCCTTTTTATTAAGTTACTGTAAATTCCTCTCATTCACACTCAGCAAAGTCTTTCAAGGGAGAATTTATAGTCACAGATCTTACCTGGCTTGGGGAGCTGCCAGGCCGATATCTTCAAAACTTGGCAAGGAGTCTCAGAGAGTCACGAACCAATTAAGTGAACTAATTGTCTCCTGCAAATTCCCTTTCGCTCCTCTTTTATTCCATTTGGGAGGGGCCAATCATTGTCTACCTGTGGCCTTACTCCCAAGTCGACCCTTGTTCTTTAGCTGTTCCCTTCATCTGGCAACTCTATGCATGCGCGCACTGGGAACAGGTTCCAGCTGTTCGTCTGCCTCACTGATGTTTGACTCCAAAGGCAGCTGATAACTGGCATACGGTCCTGGCCCCCTTTCTGCCTCCGACGCAGAGCCCTCATCAGAGCCTTCCCCAGACTCCAGGACTGGCCCAGGTTCCTCCCCAACCTTGTCACTGTTCAAATCTGCTGCCAGCTCTGCTGTCCGCTGGCTGGCCACAACAGTTATCATTCAACCCAGGGGCTTAGCTTCATCTCTGCTGTCAAGCTAAGATCTGGGAGAGTTTCTTGGCAGCTACCAGTCAAGTTGGCTTGTCTCACTTTTTATATTGAAGTAATTTTAAAGATGGTGAAATGCCACGTTTTAGCCAAAGTGTCCCAGAAAAGGTTTAAATTGACCCTGTAAACCTTTATAGAAAACTATAAAGGATGATTAGTTGCAGCCTGAACTGGTTCCTTGCTGGGTTATATTTATGACCAAGATCCACAAGGTAAATTGTAATCTACCCTATCCTTCCCTTTCTCACACACACCCCAAAATGGATTAATTTACTAACCAAAGTGTCAAGGTAGGAATACTTTCATATCAAAATAATTGAGTTCTTCTCCTGGATTTTCTTTCTTTATTCCCTCCATCCCAAAGAAAAGTGTTGTGTTCTGATTCTTGTTTTATAGCCAGAAATCAAATTATAATCTTTTTCTCCAAAAAATAAAATAAAGGTTTATTTGGGATTGGTTTATCTCAGCTTCTTACTGTCTTTCCCAGTACTGATTACTGTATTTTTTGGAGTATAAGACACATCTTTTTCCCCCAAAAAAGAGGGTGAAAATCTGGGTGCGTCTTATACTCTGAATGTAGCCCCGCCCAGCCTCTGAGACATAGGATTCAGAGGCTGAGAAAAGCATCAGAAAAGAAGCCCCCAAACAGAGTTTCAGACGCTTTTTTTCTGAAGCTGTTTCGGAGCTTTCAGAGGCAGGAAAAAAAGTTTTTTCTGAAACAGAGTTTCAGAAGTTTCAGAGGCAGAAAAAAAAGCAAAAAAGAAGCAAGGCCCAGAGCTCACAACCAAGGAACCTGTTGCTAAAATTCACCTCTGGGAACAGCTGATTGGGGGTATTCCGGGAGGCCGATCCACCTGCCAATCAGCTTTTTTCTTATTTTCCTCCCCAAAAACTAAGGGGCGTCTTATACTCTGGTGCGTCTTATGCTCCGAAAAATACGGTAGTTTGTGCAGCATATTGGAGGCCAAGTCTTTCTGAAATATTTAAGAGAGAGCGCTGAGCACTTTTTAAAGCGTTTAAAAATGAATTGTCCTATGCGACGAGTTAATTTCTGCTTTTTCTTGCTGTTCAGCTCCAGGAAGCCCTCAGCTGCAGTGCGATGCATGTGCCCTTTGTACGATCGTCACAGACAATTGTGGATAGAGCTAGCTCCTATGAGTACCGCCAGGATAAACCACAGTGTGCTTTCTGCAGGTAGGAAACTTCCCTCCTTCCCTTGAATAAAAAAGGATACAAATCTTTTAAATATTTACAAAGTCAAATCAACTTTTAGGTACAGTCGATCAGAACCTGGGCAAGTATTAACCTGTAAATAATTAACTTATCTCTAGTTTAGAGGGAAAAAACATGGAGGGAGGGAGGAAGGAGGAAATATTAGTTTCACCAGACCCATGTGGTGGTAGTTGTGAAGTCGTGTCTGACCCATCGCGACCCCATGGACCACGTTCCTCCAGGCCTTCCTGTCCTCTACCATCCCCTGAAGTCCATTTAATCTGCTTCAGTGACTCCATCCAGCCACCTAGTTCTGTGCCGTCCCCTTCTTCTTTTGCCCTCAATCGTTCCCAGCATTAGGCTCTTCTCCAGGGAGTCCTTCCTTCTCATTAGGTAGCCAAAGTATTTGGGTTTCCTCTTCAGGATCTGGCCTTCTAAAGAGCAGTCAGGGTTGATCTCCTCTAGGACTGACCGGTTTGATCGCCTTACAGTCCAAGGGACTCGCAGGAGTCTTCTCCATCACTAGAGTTCAAAGGCCTCAATTCTTTGGCGCTCAGCCTTTCTTATGGTCCAACTTTCACAGCCATCCATTGCAACTGGGAAAACCATAGCCTTGACCATATGCACTTTTGTTGGCAGGGTGATGTCTCTGGTTTTTAGAATGCTGTCTAACTTTGCCATAGCTTTCCTCCCCAGGAGCAAGCGTCTTTCAATTATACCCATCTGGTATATCAATTAAATAAATATTTGATGAGGTGACTGGTTTTTGTCTGATAAATACAAGGCAATATTCAAAAGAGATCAGTGGGAAATGTTATTGTATTCATAGCTTTTCTAAAGTTTATCCTCTTGCTATTGTATTCTAAGAGGTATCGTAGGTTTTTAGCAAAATAAATTTTCTTTGCTTCCATTTCCTCTGGCAGCATCTTCAGGGGCCACATATTTGTGGAAGTTAGAACAGGAAAGATTGTAGACACAGCATCACAATTTGATCCCTGACATTTTATATGATGTAGGTGCATATATAAAAGGGTTGCGGCTTAGAATTGCGATATGGTGAACTATCTGGCCATTTTGGAGATGTTGTCATTTCCCACTTAGACATTGTGTACAAGGAAGTGCTATCAATATGTACATCCTTGTCTTAGGAGCCCAGTCATATTGTATATATTTTGCTTTTTTTTTTTTAATTCTTCATTGACTATGAATATAGTCAGAATACAGAATAACAAGAGTTGGAAGATAATTTGGAGGTCTTCTAGTCCAACTCCCTGCTCAAGCAAGAAACCTTATATCAGTGATGGCTAACCTTTTTGCCATTGCATGCCAGGAAGGGGGGGGTTGCGCGCCTGCGTGCCCACACCCATAATTCTATGCGCCCTGCGCATGCACACATGACCCCCCTCCCCCCCACTCCTTGCACATGATGGCCCAGTAGGCCCATTTTTCTGTCTCACTTGGCTCCAGATCCTCTCTATGAGTCTGGGGATGGCGAAAACGGCCTTCCCCACCCCCTCAGAAGCCCTCCGGAGGCCAGACATAGCCCGTTTCCCAACTTCCGGTTGGACAGGAAGTGACATTTTTTGCTGTCTTCATAGAAGGCTCTGGAGGTTCTGGAGCCAGGTGAGAAAGAAAAATGAGCCTTCCTCACCCACCCCCCCAAGGCCCTCCGAAGGCAGGAAACAGCCTGTTTCCCTACTTCTGGTGGGCCCAGAAGGCCCGAAAATCAGCTGGAGCTGAGCTCGCGTGCCCACTGATATGGTGGCACACGTGCCATAGGTTCATCATCACGGCCCTATACCATTTCATACAAATGGCTGTCCAGTCTCTTCTTAAAGGCCTGCAGTGGTGAAGCACCCACAACTTCTGAAGGCAAACCGTTCCACTGATTAATTGTTCTCAAAGTTGGGAATTTTCTCCTTAATTCCAGGCTGCTTCTTTCCTTGATTGGCTTCCATCCATTGTTTCCTATCCTGCTCTCAGGTGCTTTGGAGAATAGGTTGACACCCCCTCCCCCTTTTGTGGCAGCTCCTCAGATATCGGAAGACCATTATCATGTCACCTCCCCTCATCGTCCAATTCACTAGACATAGACACACCCAGTTCCTGCAACCATTCTTCGTATGTTTTAGCCTCCAGTCCCCTAATTATCTTGGTTGCTCTTCTCTGCACTCTTTCTAGGATCTCAACATCTTTTTTTTAATAACACGCACTTTCTTTCCTGCCTTTTTTTACATGTAACTTAAGACACCAAATATCCCTATTACTCCTCCTCCCTCCTATTTTCCCCTCAACAACAACTCTCTGATTTGAGTTGGGCTGAGAGAGAGTGACTGGAGTCGCCTCAGCCAGCATTTGGAGTCGCCTCAGCCCATGCCTAAGGGGGGAGGCTTAGAACTCAGTCTCCTAGGCCAGCTCATCATTACTACACTAAACTGGTTCTTTTACTCTTTTGATGTAATCCTTTTGGCCTGATACGTTTTCTTTGCTGCCTAATAGAAACTTGTTAAACATCTTAGAGCCAGTAATTAGGTATATATACATTATAGTCAACCATAGTTTCCTTAACTATGTTTAACAAACTACAGTGGCTTTGTTTGTGGTTACGAGCCGTGGTGGCGCAGTGGTTAGAGTGCAGTACTGCAGGCTACTTCTGCAGACTGCCAGCTGCCTGCAATTTGGCAGTTCGAATCTCACCAGGCTCAAGGTTGACTCAGCCTTCCATCCTTCCAAGGTCGGTAAAACGAGGACCCAAATTGTTGGGGGCAAGAGGCGGACTCTGTAAACCGCTTAGGGCTGTAAAGCACTAAAGTTTTAACTGCTATTGCTATTACTATGTTCACAAAACATACTAAGCCAAGAAGATAAATGAATAGCTTAGTCTGGTGTTCAGTTTGGTGTCCACTATATACTTGCATAAGTAGGGATGTGATGGCTAAAATGCTGAGCTTGTTGATCGAAAGGTCGGCAGTTCAGCGGTTCGAATCCCTAGTGCCGTGTAACGGGGTGAGCTCCCGTTACTTGTCCCACCTCCTGCCAACCTAGCAGTTCGAAAACAGTAAAAAATGCAAGTAGAAAAATAGGGACCATCTTTGGTAACAGCATTCCATGTGTCTTTGGCGTTGAGTCATGCCGACCACATGACCACGGAGACGTCTTCAGATAGCGCTGGCTTTTCGGCTTTGAAACAGAGATGAGCACCGCCCCCTAGAGTCAGGAACGACTAGCACATATGTGCGAGGGGAACCTTTACCTTAGCTATATCTGCTGGATTATTCACTCAATGAATAATTTACTTGAAATAATTGCAGATGTAGTCCAGAGTATCAATTGTCATGTTCATGAGAAGATCTGGGCAAAACGTTGCCCAACTTCATTAGGCGGTAAAGTCAGACTCAAGCTACACTTATCATACATAACATGGTGTGGCTAGACAGGAATCATATTGCCAGCTAGGAAGAAGTGCGTATTCTCCAGAGCACCTGAAGGTAGGACAAAGAGTAATGGATGGAATCTTTATCAAGAGAAATGCAACCTAGAACTAAGGAGACATTTTCTGTCAGTGAGAACAATTAATCAGTAGAATGGCTTTGCCTCCAGAAGCTGTGGGTGGTTTCTAAGAAGAGATTGGACAGCTATTCGTTTCCTGCCTGAGCTGGAGATAGGGTGAGAAGCTCTCTAAGGTCCCTTCAACTCTGTTATTAAAACCTGAAGATGTAACACTTTTAATAGTTTCTGTAATTTAATTCCAGCGCTTCTTTCTCTCGTCAGTTGTTGATCGTTCTTACAAAATGCATACGCTAGCTCGATGTGCCATCCTTATAACTTGTGTTTTGAAATATATTTTTATGGCCTGTTTCTCAGAGGGGTTCCTGTTTGTCCTGGGAGGTCAAGATGAAAATAAAGCCACGCTAAATTCGGGCGAAAAGTACGATCCAGATACAAATACGTGGAGCCCCTTGCCACCGATGACTGAGGTAGCTTTCCGTTTCTGTGAATGGTGTACTGTAGTTGCCTATGTACTCCATAGCTTGTATTGCAACCTAAGAAAATTTGCAGAACTGTCTTGATTTAAGAGTTCATTCTTACATCTCATCTTTCCAATAGGCCCGGCACAATTTTGGTCTGGTCGAGATTGATGGGGTGCTGTACGTTTTGGGAGGCGAGGATGGAGAACAGGTGCTCACTTCCATGGAGTCCTATGACATTTACAATAGGACATGGACAAAGCAACCAGATTTAACCATGATTAGGAAGGTAAGAAGCAAGCAAAAGGAAAAAAGCAAGCTTGTCATATTTCTTTCTGAAACTACTGCAATCTCTCTCTCTCTTTTCCCACTCCTTTTCTCCATGTGATGGGTTTTTTTAAAAAAAATAAAAAATAAAAGATTCTTACCAATTATAAGCATAAAACAATAAGCTCTGGTTTCCTCAGTTTTCCTTTCTGTACCTTTCCCCAACCCTCAAGAAGCTATTTAAAAAAAAAGAAAAGATGCACTTGAATTAAGAGGTTTTAAATCTCTTTGGGGCTGATTGCCAAATTTATCTTAAAAGAGACTGTAATGTACTAACTGCCATTAAATAGATTGAAAACCCAATGAAGCAATTGCTTCTGCAAGAATTACAGTATCTACTAAACAAGAGACAAGAAGGAAAAAGGTAAGCGAGAAAAGAAATAAAGGAAAATTAAGTACCGATTGAAGAATTTATAAGTCAGTTATAAAGTTTCCCAGAGTTGTTTGAGTTGGCTGTCCTCACAGTTAAATATATAAATCCCTAAAGTTGTCTTGCTACAACTTTGGTTTAGGGGCTAGCAATACTAATTGGAGTGTAATCTCAATCAGCTCTAGATGGCCATCTAGATCAGTGTTTCTCAACCTTGGAAGCTTGAAGGTGGGTGGACTTCAACTCCCAGAATCCCCCAGCCAGCGCTGCTGGCTGGGGTATTCTGGGAGTTGAAGTCTACCCATCTTCAAGCTTCCAAGGTTGAGAAACACCGATCTAGATGCTATTGGACTTCAATATCCATACATCCCAGCCATAACCACTAATACTCAAGGATGATGACAATAGTTCTCCATTTGTGTCTTCAAAGGGCTGCAGATTCTCAATTCCTGGTCGGGCAATTCTCATTCACTTGTCTCAGAAACCCCAGATCAGGGGGTCAGCTCTCTCATCCCTCTGCTGCAGCTCCCTGTTGCCAGTCGGTTCCACAATTGATAGGACTTTCAGTTAGGACAAGTAGAGGAAAAAGGACGCTGCACTAGGAGGAGACTCTATGGTGGGGGAACCGGACCTCCGGTCAGCAGAAGAAAAAGGATGCCACGCTTGGAGGAGACTCTATGGTGTGGGAACCGGACTTCTGGTCGGCTCCAGAATTGAATGGGGGGCTTCCGGTTAGGACCTTAGTGGCTCTTTGAGTGTTTAAGGTTGCCAACCCCTGCCCCAGATCTTTCCCTGACTTGATACTGTAGAATTGTGCACATTGGCGTCATGTAATGGACTCAAAATAGCTAGTAATTTTTCTTAGCAATCCTTTCAGCTTGGTAGCTGGTTGTGTATCTGTGTGAGACAAGTCAGCATTGACTCCTGGCAACTGCCTGGACTGGTCCTTGCAGTTTTCTTGGCAAGGTTGCAGAAGTGGTTTGTTGATGTAGCTGCTGCAAGCTGCCAATAGTCTTTACACCACGTATTAATATTGTAAAAGGATGTTTCGGTTGTTGGTTGCCGTGCTGGAAAAAAGTGAAGTAGAGACGAGGGCCAGATCTTCTGGTAGCTGTTCAAGCGTCAGCAGATGGACTTTCTGAGCAATTTATGCCGTTGCTTGTTTCAAGTAGATTATCCTAACCCCAGCAAGGGAAATAATTTCAATGTTTGTTCCTTCCAGATCTGCTCCTATCATCTAAATAGCCATGTGAGGTTTTATAACGTCTTTTGAAAAGCTACCGGCGGTAGAAGCTTCAGAGGAAAGACCTTGCGCCAGCCAGTTTAAATAAAAAAAATAAGAGGAAGAGGTTTATTTTGTTCACTTCGTGTTGTTTTTCAGCCTCGAAACAGGATCTACGTGCTTCTCAGAAGCACTTTTGAAAAGTCAATGAAGACAGTCATCCAAGTAGACTTGGCTGGAAGGTGAGTCATGGCAACTGGGCTTCTTTTTCCTTTTGGTTTGAAACGTTTCGCCACTTATCCGAGTCGTTTCTTCAGTGAAGAGTGGACCGAAGAACATACTTGCATAAGCAGTGGAACGTTTCCAATCAAAACGATTTTTTTTCCCCAGTTGCCATGACTCAACTTCTGAACAACTTTTAAAAAGCCACTAAAAGGGCAGCGAAAGAGTGCAGGCTCTTTAAAAAAACAGCCTCAGAACTCCCAATTGCATCGAAAAGCTCATCTCAAAAGCTCCTTTGGTGGTTCTAGAAGAATTCTTACTTAGATGGATTCCCGGAGAGTAAGTTTCTTCGCTGACCACCCTGTCCTGTCGACAGACAGACAGACAGTCACAATCTAATACTCATATAAAAATAGCAAAAGCTTTAAAAATGGGGGGAAAAAAACCCAATATGCAAGGGCTGCCACCTTGAATGGTAATCGGGCCAAGAAATCCACTTGATTTCCTTGGTATTTTAAATTAATCGGTGTCCCTGTTATGATTTCTGTCTCGTTGTGCCTTTGCTAGCTTTCTCCTGCAAAACTTTAAAGCTTTATGTTGGCAACTTTGCTTTGAAGGTCTTTTGAGGCAGCATTTGAGATCTTGCAATTCAAGGAACTTAGTTGTTCCTTTTGGATGGGATCGGCAACCTTAAACTCTCAAAGAGCCACAAAGGTCCTAACTGGAAGCCCCCCGTTCAATTTTGAAGTTCCCCCACCATAGTGTCTCCTCCTAGCATGGTGTCCTTTTCTCTTTATCTGTCCAAACCGAAAGCCTTATCAATTGTGGAGCCGAACGGAAAACCTGTCCCTTGCCATAGAGTCTCCTCCTGGCGCACCGTGCTTTTCCCCCCTAACCGTAAACTCCTGTCAAAATTGTGGTGCCAACCGGTAACGGAGCCGCAGCAGTGGGATGAAGGAGCCATATGCGGCTCCAGAGCCGCGGGTTGCTGACCCCTGCCTTTGGATATAAAAAATCTTGATAGTTGAAAGCAGAAAGTTGAATTTGTTCTGGAAGGCTTGAGTGGAGCCCAATGAAGGCGTCATTAAAGAACTTTTAATGCTGAGCTGGACCAAGTCTTGCTGACTTTGATGGGCTCTACAGATTGTTACGATGCTCTTCAAATATGCAACTTTGGTCTCTATCATCCTGTATAAAATAAAACAACGTGGAAGAAAAAAAAGAAACAATAGAAAAAGGCCCTTTTTAATTGGCTGGTTGTCTCAAGATAGACTGTTTGAACAGTTTAGGGAATTCTACCTTTAGGAGGAAACACCTGCTGGTTTCTTTTATCAAAGCAACACCTGTCTGTTGCTTTCATGTATCTAAAGCAGAAAGACGACTACTACCTCTCCTGCAGGTTTGACAATTGGTTTATGGCACCTTTCTTTTCCTGTATTCTGCCAATTTGGCTTCAAGGAGACCTCAGAGTCAGATACAATCAATCCAGAGATCGAGACTGTTCAAAACATTAAAAGGTTTTTATACAAGGAATGCTGGTCATAATTTAGCATGGTTTATGTTGATGACAACAGAAATTTGTCTGCCATTCCCTTTCCCCTTCCTGTTTCGTCCTCCTCCTCCTTCCCCTTCTTCCCCTTCCACTCCTCCTCCTCCTCCCTCTTCACCTTCCTCTTTTCATGGTACAAGAAGGTAAAATCTTTTGTGAACCTAATATAATACATGATGCAAGTGTTAAGGAACAAGCTGCCTTTAGAAAATGAAAACACAGTACACTAGAGCTGATAGAACTGATTAAACTCTTTCCAGGCACTACAGAAAGAGAAACAATCCTTAAACCTGTGTAGAGAAAAGTTGAATCTCAGCAGAGCCATCCTGTTGGAGTTGCCTTCCTATGTTCCAAATAGAGATCCAGATTTTAAAGCACTCAATCTTGAGGACTCTTTTGTTTTTTGTTTTGAATTGTATCAGGAATGGGATCTTTTTTTTAACCATCTGTTGATTAATGTGTGAGGGGACTTCCCCTTTCCCTTTCAGGAGTTCATCATTTGTATTACTGTCGTGTTGCTGCCTTTTGTCGGGACATTGCGGCGAATTGACTCATGCCCTGCTCTGTGTAACAGATATTGTGCATTTTCATTTTTAAGATTGGTTGCTACGCAGCTATGAAGAAGAAGATCTATGCAATGGGCGGTGGTTCCTATGGAAAGCTCTTTGAGTCTGTGGAATGTTACGACCCGAGGACTCAGCAGTGGACGGCCATCTGCCCACTGAAAGAGAGGAGGTGAGTAAGATATTAAGAGTTATTTAGATGAGCTGCGGTGGTGCAGTGGATAGAATGCAGTCCTGCAGGCTACTTCTGCTGACTGCCGGCTGCCTGCAATTTGGCAGATCAAATCTCACCAGGCTCCAGGTTGACTCAGCCTCCCATCCTTCCGAGGTGGGTAAAATGAGGACCCAAATTGTTTGGGGGCAATAGGCTGACTCTGTAAACCACTCAGAGAGAGCTGTAAAAGCACTGTGAAGCGGTATATAAGTCTAAGCGCTATTGCCATTGTTATTAAGATTTACTGCCCAGATTACTAGATCCATCCACCATTTCATTACTCTCACAAGCCATTCGACGATTCACAGATTAAACCTGACATCTTCTTCATCAATCTTGGATTTAAGCATTAACCTGGCCGTCATAGGTGCTGGAGGTTTTGTTCAGATGAGTAAGACGTCTGTTACAGGGAGGTGTCCTTTGGCAAAAGGTATTTTCACCTCTGGCCTGCCAATAGACTAGCCTCCTGCATTTCTTTGCAGACTATGGAGAGAGAATGAGTGGTATCTAGGCTCTTTGGCTAGGATTTCTTTTTTTGTTCTTTTACTTTTTAAAAGCCACTGTCAGACTGGTCCCATCTACTCCCTAGGAAAGAACGACCCTTGACTCCATAGGATTTAGAGAAAAGGCACATTTCCTACAGATGCTGAGTGCAGCATGGAGGAGGCAAGCTCTGAGGAATAACCACGCGAAAATCATATATTGAAAGCAATCCCCTGGGAGGGCAATCAGATCTCATTCCGGTGTTTCAGGAACTCAGCATCTCAGGCATTGGTGTAAATTCCTTTCCCGGGTCTGGCGTCCTTGAAACTCGGCAGATGGCTTCGTTTGGCACCGAGTGCAGGGGTGGGATTCTACCGGTTCGGATCGGTTCGGGCGAGCTGGTTTACTCCGACGATCAACTGGGAGTGAACCGGTTCGCTCTGACAATCAGGTCGTCCTGCCTGCCCCTCCCTGCACTTTACTTACCTTTATTGCAGCACAATGGATTGCCACGCCTCAGCTGTGTTACTCCCAAGTGGTAACACCGAAGGTTAGTATTTGTAAAACTGCACACGCGAAGTGCGCGATCACAGAACCAGTTGTTAAACCGGCAGCATCCCACCACTGACCGTGTGATTCCTGTTAGTGTCCATACTCCCCAATTTCCCAAAGCATTCTTTCTTACCTCCAGCACACTTTCCCCTCCCGTAAGCTCCCTCCTCCCTGGTTATGGCAGTTGCTAGCGAGCTTCAAAGAAAGTGAAGATGAGCATCTGACAGCCACATTTCCACATTTTTAAAAAAGGTAAAAGTTTTCCCCTGACCAGTCATGTCTGACTCTATGCAAATAATATGCAAATAATTATGCAAATAATTTTTCTGCGGACCACCAACATTTTCTCGCAGACCACCAGTGGTTCACAGACCACCAGTGGTGACCGCTGCTTTAGACTTCGCCTGAGATATGCAGGGGAATAAGAGGCAGGAATAGTAAGGCGGCAGCTTACGCTAAGGAAACGTCACTATCCACGCCTGGATGAGGTTGGGTGAAAACCGCTAAGACAACACGGGAAGGGGGTTAGTTAACATGCGTGCTGAGTTAATGTCCATGCTTAACCTTGTCTCATCTTCCTCCTGTTTTTCAGGTTTGGGGCCGTGGCGTGTGGCGTGGCTTCAGAGCTCTACGTCTTCGGCGGTGTGAGAAGCCGCGACGACAATCAAACCAGTGAGATGGTGACGTGCAAATCAGAATTCTACCACGATGAATTCAAAAGGTAGCTAACTCTTTGCTCTGTAACGGAGTCTCGTCCACTCTGTAAACCAGGGGTCCCCAAACCTGGCAGCTTTAAGACTTGTGGACTTCAACTCCCAGAATTCTGGGAGTTGAAGTCCACAAGTCTTAAAGCTGCCAAGTTTGGAGAGCTCTGCTGTAATCGGTTGGCTGTTACCTTGTTTGGACTCTGGCAACTTCACTGAAGAGCATTTATTATTAAGAGCTGCACCTGGGGAATAATTCTCCCTTGCTCTCCCTTTAGCCAATAAAGCCGCCTTTGATTGATTACCTCTGCAGATAATCCTTCTCAGTCTTGTCACTTGGTGTATCTTCAGTTGGCTGGAAAGCTGGAAATCTTTGGCAGGGTGAAGCCAATCACCGCTAAAGCTCTTTCCCTTCAAAGGAAATGCATCTTGCGGCATTTTGTACGTTTGAGTGCAGCCTGCCCTCGTAGAAAGAAAGTTGTGTAGGAGTGTTAATATAGATTGGCCACTTGCTTACTTTTTTAGAGTTGTGCAAAAAACATTCAGTAGCTTCCCAGAACAGCATCCTTCCTGGAAGCATCCATCCATCAAATCTTTATTTGGTTGTAGACCAGCAATGTAGAGTAGAGAAATCACATTTAATTAAAATGAAATATAAAAGAAAAGTAATGTGCAGATAAATAGGGGGAGATAGATGCATGGGGGGAGAGAGAGAGAGGGAGAACGGGGGGAATATATATAGAGAGATTCTAAATCAGTGATGGTGAACCTTTTTGGCACCAAGTGCCCAAACAGGAACGCGCCTACATGTGTGTATATGTGCGCACGCCGCAGAACCGGAAACTCGAATGCCAGCTGGCCGGCGTGCACATGCCTGGTTTTGGGCTGGTTTTTTGGGCTGGTTTTGGCTCAAAAAACGGCTGGAAAACGGCCCATTTTTTGGCCATTTTCTGAAGACCAGCTGGCTGGAAATACGTGCCAGAAACCACATGCGCGCTGGAAATCAGAAGAGCAGCTTGTGACGGCATGCGTGCCCCCAGAGAGGGCTTTGCGTGCCACCTCTGGCACACGTGCCATAGGTTTGCCATCATGGTTCTAAACTATTTTAAGAGGGATTAAAGTTAATCCTACAGCATAAAGGACAGAATACTGAGGAATACATGGCTGTAGACAGAGCATGAAGCATGAAAGCTGCTGCAACTTTTGGAAGGCTCATCGCCACTTTGAAAGGTTGAAAGGACACCTTTGAAAGGTTGTCCCTAATTGTCTGAGGATGCAAAGACAAGCCGCCTCCTGCGTCAACCAGGTTAAGAAACAAACCCCGCAGGGATTCCTGGAACGCCACTATATTATTGTAAGAAGAGTGCTCTTCAAACTTTGGCTGCTTTGTGGATTTCAACTCCCAGAATTCCCCCGCCACGTGGTAAGGTACAATAGCAGAATCTTAGCTTGCCCACGTTCCTTTATGCCCCATCTTATACTAAATAAAAAGGGACACGGTGGCTCAGTGGCTAAGATGCTGAGCTTGTCGATCGAAAGGTCGGCAGTTCAGCGGTTCGAATCCCTAGTGCCGCGTAATGGGGTGAGCTCCCGTTACTTGTCCCAGCTTCTGCCAACCTAGCAGTTTGAAAGTACGTAAAAAAATGCAAGTAGAAAAATAGGGGCCACCTTTGGTGGGAAGGTCACAGCGTTCCGTGCACCTTTGGCATTGAGTCATGCCGGCCACATGACCACGGAGACGTCTTCAGACAGCGCTGGCTCTTCGGCTTTGAAACGGAGATGAGCACTGCCCCCTAGAGTCGGGAACGACTGGCACATATGTGCGAGGGGAACCTTTACCTTTTATACTAAATAACATGAATGCCAAGTTTATTTTGAATACTTTCTTGTCTTCCCTTCTACTTCGGAACCCTGCAATCTCCGTATAACCTCTTGTCTGAGACCCTTGTGTCAGGTCTAAATTCTTTTACACCCTCGAACGTGTTACGAGAAATGAAGCTGCTGGACATTGACAGGCATCTGAAGACAGCCAGACAGTCGTGTCAGGCCTTCTTGAAAGGACCCCGTTGCTTTCATGCTCCTAGAGGAATGCACCTCCGCTCTAATGCCTTGTGCAAAGAGCTCTTCTGAATTCTTTGCACAACCCTAGTTCGTGGGCATTACAGTACATGTAGTCCTCGACTGACAACAGTTCATTTAGCAACCGTTCGAAGTTAACAATGACGCTTGAAAAAAGTGACCGATGACCGTTTTCCCCACTTAACAACCGTTGCATCAACTCCACGGCCAGATGAGCGACGGACTCATAGTTATGACGGTTGCGGTATCCCAGGGTCACGAGATCACCTATTGCGACCTTCTGACAGGCAGTCAACAGGGAAGCCAATCACTTAACAACCATGTTGCTCATTTAACTTAGCAGTGATTCACTTAACAACCCTGGCAAAAAAAAAGGTTGCAAAACGGGGCCAAACGCACTTCATAAATGTCGCACTTAACGACAGAAGTTTTGGGCTCAATTGTGGTCGTAACTCGAGGACTATCAGTACCTGCAATGCAATATGACTTATACCGCGGTTAACCAGAAGAGGGTGCTATTGTACTATAAAAGAGGCTGTGAGGATTGATAGGAAATGGCTACTAAAGCTTTATTAGAAGGGATCTATTTCTGTTGGTTACCGTGGATTGTTCAGTCAACTACTTGTGTTGTGGCTCTTGTGCTTCACTGTACAGTAACTGAATTCCAAACTATTTTTGGGTGGTGGGTGGTGATGTGTAACTCCTTAAACTCTGCACCAGGGCTATACGTTTTCCTTCCTTCACAGCACGTGGTCTCAAATTGAAATGTTGAAGAATTGATCTTTGCTGCCTGAAATTGGGGGAGTGGGGAATCGAACCGCTTGCAATTCCCACCCTTTAGTTCAGGGCTTGAAATACTCCGGTCCAGACCAACAGAGGCGACAGACAGTGCCACAAAGGACTATTTCCCATAAAAATACACAGCAGCAACAAATAATAATTTCCAATCCTCTGATACCGATCCATTTGCCTCTGATACCATATCGATTTGCCTGGGGTGATCAGGCCCTTCCTGTCTCACGATTGGGCTGGCCTTTGGAGGAGTATTCTGTTCTTCAAAAGAATAATGTCCAGGCTCCGTAGATACAGGTAGTTCTCAAATTACGGCCGTTCGTTTAGTGACCATTTCAAAGTTAAAATTTGGAAGATCAAAATTCGGACGCGGTATTTATGTGATGGTCGGGGGGGGTCATGTGATCATCGTTCGCGAGCTTCCCAGCCGGCTTCCAACAAGCAATGGATGGTGGGGAAGCCAGATTCACTTAATAACCGTATGATTCATTTAACAACTGTGCCCCAAAGGGTCATAAAACGGGGCAAAGCTCCCTTAACTGCTTTGCTTAGCAAGGTTAATTTTGGACTCGAACGTGATCGTAAGCCCGAAGTCCACCTGTAGTTGTGGTAAGAAAATAATAACGAAGAAAGTAATGAAAACAAATAACAAAGCATTCTCGTATTAAACTGCCTTATTAAACGGCAGGGGTGAAATGCTCCCGGTTCAGACCGGATCACCCGATCCGGTAGCGATGGCAGCGGGTGGTTAGGAGAACCGGTAGCAAAAATCCCTGTACCACCACCTCCCCCATGCCCAGCTGAGCCACGCAATCATCAGAGGCTTTTTTTATTTTTTATTTTTAAAAACATTTTTTCTACAACCTCTTCGGCTGAAAAAATGCTTTAAAAGAAAAAAAAAAGCCTCTGATGATCGCTCGACTCAGCTGGGATCGTCAGAGGCTTTTAAAAGCATTTTGTGCAACCTCTTCGGTGGAAGAGGTTGTAGAAAAAATGGTTGTAAAAGTTTAAAAAAAATGATGGCCACGCCCACCCAGTCACATTACACCCCCCCACCAAGCCACGCCCACAGAACCAGTAATAACAAATTTTACATTTCACCACTGCTTTATGCTGCTGCCGAGCTTGGTCTAGCCCTGTTTACTGTACCTGACGGCGATTCTTTGAGATTCAAGCTAGAAATATTTGCCAGAGATGCTTCCTGAAACACTTTGATCAGGAGGTACAGGAAATTGAATGCCAAACCCTCTGTGTACAGAACTTGCATTCTGTCACTGATTCACCCAGCATATGAATGTCGGCAGCTATTAAACAAAACGTTGTGCAGCATTAGCCAAAACAGGAAGCATGTAATCTATTTCTGGTGCTTTCGGCTGCAAATTCTATAAGAGCCGCGTCCACCTGTTTCTGCAATGTGAAATGGCTTGCCTGCAACCCAGGGGTTTTGAGAAGGTTGAATTTTGAGAATATTTGAGAAACATTGTGAGAAACGTGTCCACGGGATAAGTCACCTCAGTGGGAAATATAGCATCAGTTTTAAACTCCTTCAAAGGATTTTAGTGCGCCGTGTGAGCCATTTGCGAATGTCTTTTTAGGTCTTTCTTTAAACACTACTCGTTAATGAACATATGTTCACCTCCTAAAATGTTGCCTTTCTTTGCAGATGGATCTATCTGAGTGATCAGAATTTATGCATCCCAGCCAGTTCCTCGTTTGTGTACGGAGCTGTGCCCATTGGGGCCAGCATATATGTGATCGGGGATCTGGATACAGGTTAGTGCCTAAACCAGTAGTAACATGATTGTTGTTTTTCTAATCAAACATCACATTGCTACAAGATAGGCTTGTCAAACTTTTCAAGGGTCATCTTGTTTTTTATTTATTTATCATGTTTAGAAACTGCCCACCTTCCTGTAGTCCTTCCGCAACTACAAATAAGATATAGAAACAATAAAGGCAGATTAAAACAAGTAGAAAATGTTTAAAATTCAGAATTAAAAAGGGGGCTTTCAGGGGGCTTCACATCTTGAGTTTAATAACTCTGCTGGATAAGTGAAAAACAATTATTTTTTTGTTTAAAAACGTAAGCTTCTCTTCTGTAATCAAGCTGCAAATATATCCTGGCTCACAAGAAGGTTATTACTCCAACTACTCCAGTTTAGCGTCTTTTGGAAAGCTACACTGACCTACAGGTGCTGCCCTTAACATGTTAAATATTCCCCCTTTACAACCAAGGTGATCTGTTTTTATTTGACACATCACAGTAACCCACAATCTCATTCCCCTGTTTTTTTGGCTTAGTGAAGCATGGTAACACACCAGAGTGGGTTTCAGCAGGTTCTGACCAGTTCTGGAGAACCGGTAGCGGAAATTTTGAGTAGTTGGGAGAACCGGTAGTAAAAATTCTGACTGGCCCTGCCCCCCATCTATTCTCTGCCTCCCGAGTCCCAGCTGATTGGGAGGAAATGGGGATTTTGCAGTAACCTTCCCCTGGAGTGGAGAGGGAATGGAGATTTTACAGTATCCTTCTCCTGCCACGCCCACCAAGCCACACCCACTGGTCTCTGGTCTATGAATGTAATAAGTTGAACTGAAGTGATAAATCATAGCTACCAATAGGAGAACGTATTAGGAAAGAGAGAAAAATGAGAAGATGAGAAGGATAATAGCAATACAGCCTACTTCCATGAATAAATATCTTTAGGCCTAAGACATTGCGGGGGGAATTAGGTGTTCAGCAAGGTGACTCTCATCTTTAACCACATCTAATGCCTTCCTTTTCTAAAAGATGTCAAATGCTTCTTTTACTGCATGCCTTGCTGTTGAATTCGGTATTTTGGCTTTCCGTCTTCAAAGCTGCTTCTCCCAACTTCCCAAACTAACCCTGCCATTGCGATTAGGTACCAGTTACGATTACGTTCGGGAATTCCGAAGAAGCACCGGAACGTGGCACCCGACGAAACCACTCTTCCCGTCCTACCTTCGCCACACCGGATGCGCTGCTTTGCGCATCGCCAACTGCAAACTCTTCCGCCTCCAACTCCAGCAGGGGCTGCTCCTCTCCCTCCGCGCCCGCGTCCCTTCTCCTTGACCGTCCTTCACGCAGCGGCCCGGCAAGAGCGTCCGGGGAAAGCTGATAAAACCCGCTTTATGTAAACGGAGAAGCCAACAACGTCCTGCAAGCAGACATTTAAACCGTATACTCGGCTTTTTGGTATGATAACCATTCTAACTTTCCTTTCGTTGCTCAAAACGCTTAAGCCTCGGCCTGTCTCTGGAGGGGCTCACGGGAGAAAAATGGAAGAGGTCCCGTTACTTACACGTGTTAAGCCACGCGGCTGGAGGCCGTCCCTTGGTTTCCAACGAAGAACAATAGTGTCAAAAGAAAACTTACGGAAAAATGGAGCAGCATCTGCAGGATGTGTTTTCACCAAGGGGGAATGGTTGTGAGTAACAATGTTGTGGTGAGCTGGGGAAGCCCGGCTGGCAGGCGATATACTGAATGAAAATCAATTTCTCTCTCTCTCTCCTCTCTCTCCTCTCTCTCTCTCTCTCTCATGCCAAAAGAGACTTTTTTTTTTAAGATCCACTGGGAGGAAGAGAAAAATGGGCAGGTGAATTTTTATTTTCACAGCTTTCTTTGCAATTGGGAGGCCTCTGCCCGGAATGACACGTAAAGCCATCTTTCACACTTTTTTTTATTCCTAGGAAATTTTTTTTTTTAAACGAAATGGACTAATCTCTAAAACCAAGCTCAGCATTGTGCCGTTAAAAAAAAAAAAGGGAACTAAATATGATTACATACTGTAGGTCTTTTATTATTTGTGGTTCACCTTAAAGGTATTTTGGACTTCAGGAACGGATCTCAATGAATGAGATGGGTGAGAATGAATGTCAGAAGTGCCATACATTATTATGAACGGGGCAGGTAGCACATATTTGGGGTAGGAGTGGGGTGGGGGGGGGCAGAAGAGCAATTAATACAAGGAGAATATTTCCAAACATGATGAATTAAAAAATGCAAGTTTTCAGGAGTAAAAAAAATATATTCCTAAACGGTTGTATTACGGATGAAAGGTTCAGAAGATAACTTTTTTCTTTTTTTAATCTTCTTGTAAAGTGGGAGAAGGGGCGGTGAAATTATTAATACATTTCAGACACTGTCTGGAGAATTATATGGGGGGAATCCAACGTTTGGTGTAAAAATTACCTCTTTCTCAGAACATTGTGCTGAATATTGTTGATACTTATTACAGTGAAGGTTTTATTTTTATTTTCCGTTTTATAAGTTTATTTTTTTTGATCATAAATATTAATATTTAATTAGACTATAGATAATTTGCTAGTCACAATACTGTTTTACCTTTCTACTTAAGCGTTATTTTGTTACACCTTGTTAATGAAGCTCTATAAACGAAAAGCAAAAAAAAAAAAAAGAAGAGGTCACACCGTTGAAATATTCCATGTTCTTGCGCTGCAGATTCTGGAAATGGCACTGTTCCAACAATGGTGTTGTTTTCCATTGTATGTGTGTGCCCAGTAATGCATATTATTGGGCCAGATGTTTACAGTAACGTGAATCCAATGGAATTTATGTGGATGTCTTGGAGCACATCTCAGGGCTGCCAGGTGTTCCTGGAATACAACTCCCATCATCCTTCGTGCCCTCGAAGGTTGGGGCTTCAGCGTTTGTGGATCCAGAATGCAAAGACCCCCATTCCTTCTGGAGGAGGAATATAGGCCTCCAGATTTGTGGGCCTTTCTCCACCTGATCTTAGAAAGTCCATATTTTGACAGGAAGGCTGTCATCGGTACACAAACAGTAAGACTACAACATCTGGGGTTAAAGAGCAAATCCTAAGCACATTTTAAAAGTTTTGTTTCTGTTGCGAGTAAAGATCTGCTATGCATTCCTTCGTAGATCTACTCACAGATCTACAACGATCCAATTGTTGAGGGCTTGTTTTCACATCAGAAGCACAGGCTTACCGCATTTCTCCGCGTGTTAGCCAGATCTTGTTCTTCTTTCAAAAAGACAAACTCGTGCAAACATTTAGATAAAAGATACACATTTAGGTCACAGTGGCTGCAAATATGGTTCCCCAAGTTTTGCTTTTTTTCGATGTCGGAAGTATTTTGGAAGGTTTGAGTAGCTGCTCCACCTTCTTCTACAGCAGGGGAGTCCAACTTTGGCAACTTTTAAGACTTGTGCTGGGGAATTCTGGGAGTTGAAGCCCACGAGTCTTAAAAGTTGCCAAGGTTGGACTCCTTATCCTCAAGTCTTCTAATGGTTCTCTGTGTCTTAGTGGAATAGGGGTCCTTTTCTTCAGCTATTTCTCCTCCTTACAATCCCCAGCCACTTTACCTGGCAATTTAATGCAAAGGACATTCTTCAAAGCTTCCCTTGAGATGCTTCTGGCTCTCTTGATCTAAACTAGGGATCAACACTCAAAGAACCACAAAGGTCCTAACCGGAAGCCTCCCGTTCATTTCTGGAGCAGACTAGCAGTCCGGTTCCCCCACCATAGAGTCTCCTCCCAGCGCGGTGTTCTTTTTCCTCTACCTGTCCTAACCGAAAACCCTATCAATTGTGGAGCTGACTAGAAAACCCGCCCCTTGCCATAGAGTCTCCTCCTGGCGTGCCATGCTTTTCCTCTCCCTAAAGGGAAGCTCCTCTCAAAATTGTGGTGCCAACTGGCGAGAGGGAGCCGCAACAGAAGAGCCACATGCGGCTCCAGAGCCATGGGTTGCCAACCCCTGCTCTAAACAATTGAAGTAAGCAATACACCAATCAAGGAAGTGCCACATAAATCAACAGTAAACAGCCCAGCCAAAGAACCCCTGAGGTCACCCTCACCAAGACTTGACAGGGTAAGCCACCAGAATATAATCTGAGAGAGGCCATCACTCCCTACTAGCACTGATGATATTACTTAGTTGGGCCATGAAATGTCTGCAAGAAAACAGCCAAGCTCAGAGAGCATCAAGGACCCCTCCTTTCCACCCTGAGCTACACAAATATTCTCTTTTTATCTCTTGACCTTCTAATATCCAAAACATAGAGAATCATCCAGTTGGATCTTCGTTCATTGTCTTTCTTTGGGATTCCCTCCAGTATGATTCCATTCCGATGGGAGCAAAATAAGAACAACAGATTGGAAAGCATAAAAGGAAGAAGAAAAGGAGAAGCATTTGTCACCTGCTTAGTTTGCAGAAATGAGCTGAATAGAATTGAATAGAAACAGAATAGAATAGAATTCTTTATTGGCCAAGTGTGATTGGACACACAAGGAATTTGCCTTGGTGCATACGCTCTCGGTGTACATAAAAGATACATTCGTCAAGAAATGTTGGTGCTCATCCATTCGGTGTTCGGTTTCTCCTTTTTATTGGCAGTTTCTCTTTTTGGATGGGAAATGTGTGTTTTCAAGTCTGCCTTTTTTGAGTTAATTTTTTGGGGGGGTTAATTGTCTCCCCTCCATTGGAAGCCCCCAGCAAGAGCAGATGGAGAAGCTAGCTTTATATTATTATTCCTTTGACTCAAAGCTCTCTTCTCTTTTCCCCATGCAAGCTCTCTCCTGGTTCTTGCAAGTGATTGTTGCCCAGGTGTACCTATAAAAACAAGACTTTGAACTGAATGATGTCAGGAAGGGTCTTTTCTTGCTTTCCTTGAGAATTCAAAGAGGTCGGAGTTCATTTCGTTTCAAACTATTAAATGCGAGTGCCTCGCTAATTGAACAAGTATAGTAAGGAGCTGTTGTGGTCCGCCCGCCACCTGCGGAGCTGGCAGCGGAGTCGGACAGTGATGAGGCTGAGGAAGAACATGGGCCAGTCCTGGAGGCTGGGGAAGGCCTGGATGAGGGCTCTGCGTCGGAGGCAGAGATAGGGCCAGGGCCACTGAGGAGTGATGCGCGGACTTCGGAGCCTCCAGAGGCTGATAGTAGAGAGGGAGAGGAACAGGAGGAGCCTGTTCCTAATGCACGTATGAGAAGAGCCGCCAGAAGGCAGGAGCAGCTAAAGCAGAGAGGACGACTCAGGAGTAAGGTCAAGAGATGATTGGCCCCTCCCATAAGGCTTAAAAGACCAGCAACGGCTCTTGGCCTCTTTGCCGGAAAACGACATTGAGAGATTTGCTTCTTGTTTCACTGTATTCATTTCTTGTCGGCGTCTTCTGCTTCTGAACTTTTGCCAAGAAAAGTCTTTGGCAGTTTGCCTAATTATCCCAAGGTCAGTGATAAAGTGAGGAATGGTGTTTTGAAGAATTTGCTTTAATTTACTTTGGACTACGCTGAGAATGAGTTAATTCTCAGCTGTTCTAATAAAGTCTGTTTGTTTTCGAACTGTTTGTATTTACTACTAACTACTTGGGCCTGGGTCACAACAGGAGCTTTGCAATTTGCTGAGTGTTTTCCTTTCTTTTTCTCTTAAAAGCCAGCTTTTGAGTTCTTTGCACGGGAGGTAATTTACGATGCTTAAGATGCAGTAAAAACAACTTAATAATAGCGCTGCATTTAAGGGGTACAGAGGGCTGTTTGGGCAAAGTTAAAATACGTATTTTAACTTTGCCCAAATTGGTTCCTTTTCTAGGAGCTAAAAGTCTTTTCACAGGGAACATTCTGTCGGACAGATACGTTCAGTTAGTCTGATTCATTTGCTGGCCTTGGCTAACATTGCCATTCATAGAGAAAGTTTTTGCCATGATTCAGAGTGACTCCCATCAATCTGTAGGGTTATTTTCCTGACTTGTGGTCTTGGAGCCAAATTAGATATTGGTCAATCTTGAGTCTCAAAATCAAGTTGCTGTTGTCTCACCTTTATATAGCAGGGTTACAAGGATGACTTAAAGCTGGGGTCTCCAACCTTGGCAACTTTTAAGACTTATGGACTTCAACTCCCAAAAGCTGGCTGAGGAATTCTGGGAGTTGAAGTCCATAAGTCTTAAAAGTTGCCAAGGTTGGAGACCCCTGATTTAAAGGGAAGAGATCCTCCCCTCACCCCCAATCAGTTCTGTATCTGCATTTCTGCTGGGGAGAAGTAATTTAAGCAGAAAGTTTTCTCCCCGATGCTACTTTATAAATTTGTTTGCTGTGTTTAGTTTGACTCTTTGAAAGTCCTGTGGGGTTTTTTTTTTGGTTTTGTTCTGTTTTTTTTTTTAAAATAATAATAATTCCCACACCCTGAACTTTTGCAAGTACTGTAGTCCTATGCCTAGGCTACCGCTAGTAGATTGGAGAGCAGCTGTTCATATTTTATTTCAGAGTGTGTTGCAATTCACATATTTGACCACACAAGTCACACCTATTTGTCCACCTTTGGCAAACTGTTTTTTAAAGAGTTTGGAAAGATTAACAAGGCATATTTGAACCTGGCTCTCAAAGTGTCCGGTTTACGATAGTCAAACATTAATTTCGTTTTTAAAAACGAGCATTTAATGGTGGTGAAAAACGCCTTCATATTCTGGTTGTGTTTTCCTCTCTGGATGATTAAAACGGCATCCCTAGATTTCTTTTCTGTAATGTATCTTCTCTCTTCCATAGTTACCTCAGTAGTTTTCAAAATCACAGAGCTGGTGTTTGTCACGCCTAAGGCACTTTACAATAACAGAAAACTTGCAGTGAGTGCCAGCTTTTTCAACACAGGTGCTGCTGAACTCATCAAAGTGCAGGGCTATTACAATATTGAAGTCTACTGTAAAACTGCTTAAACGATAGCTGCACGTACGTTCTTCTCGTTTTGTCTTAATTCTGAGTCTAAAATCGCCTTGGACAACATCACTACCTGGGCAGTCCTGTCCCCTTGTTATAACAGTGCCATCCTTGGAAATGAATGATGAGTTTAAACTGTCCCCCTTTTTATTTCAACAGGCTCTTAGGGCAAAGTCAACGGCAGAGGGTTTAGGAAAGATTGCATCCACGCCTGCTCTTAGAATTGCTTCTGTTCAGGGCAGGACAACCTATACTTGCAATGAGTAAATGGGCTGGGCTGGTTCTTAGGAGCTGTGTGTAGTTCCTGTTGCAGATGGTGGCAGCCCAGAATGACCCAACTCTCAATATGCATTGCTTGTTGCATTAATCGATTTTATTTGATTAATAGATGTCTCAGTCTCTGGCTGAGAAACTCTTTAGGTCTGGGTTGTCTCTAAGGATACCAAATTTGGAGATCAAATGCAGTTGGTATGTTATAACCCGCCTGTATCTTTTATTAGTTTCCCTTTTTGGATAGCCATTTGTCTGAAGTGGTGTAGGGTTTCCTGCCTAAGCAGGGGATTGGACTAGAAGACCTCCAAGGTCCCTTCCAACTCTTCTCTTCTCTTCTCTTCTCTTCTCTTCTCTTCTCTTCTCTTCTCCTCTCCTCTCCTCTCCTCTCCTCTACTCTACTCTACTCTACTCTACTCTACTCTACTCTACTCTATTCTTTCTCTGTTTTCACCACACTTTCAAAGGTTTACAGCTAAAACTACATTTTTCTGATGTTTCTGCAGTACTCTTTGTATAGATTTGCAACAATATCCCCCTTCCTACCTGTGGAAGGATAGCTTTAAAGGCACATCTGTTGAACCACCACTGGGCAGATTTCCCTTACTTCGTTCCGTCATTCTGGTTTAAAATCTGAATGTATCAAGTTCTGTTCTCAGTAAGGTCAGGAACATATGTACTGTATTCTGAATGTGAAACTGACAAAACCAACATAACGTTACTGTCTTTCTCTTTGTTTTTCCTAAGTGATTCATTTTAGTAGCCGTTAGTTTACTGTTTATTTCTAATTCAGCACCTAGACTTGCGTTCTTCATAATTTCAGCTCATTGAAACAGCTCTATGAGCTACCAGGTTCTGCTACTGTAGAATAAGCTTGAAATTTCTTTGAAGTCAGGTTTTTTGTTGTTGTTCTAAGTCTAGTCACTGTATGATCAAGAATATAAGTATTGAACCTGCTAGTATTAACTAAACCACCCAAGTGCCTAATATGAGTTCAATAGAAAGGAGGTTCCCCAAGTCAGTGGAGATAAAAACGTCTTCATTGAGCTGAATATAATCAGATTAAGTAAATGTATTAGAAATTATTTTTAATCCTTAAATGTTCCATATTTATCATTGCCACCTGCTGCCTATTAGGTCAGAGAGGATTGTCTGCCAACTAAAACGAAATACAGTAAAAAGTTTGTAGAGAAAGTAGGGAAACAAGAAATTGGACTATTGACTATTATTTTAATTTGTCCCTGGTCAGCTGGATGCTAACTCCTGCCCTGCAGTCTTTAACGTATAACCCTTTTAGAGAAAGAAAATCACACATTACATGATCCGTTGATTTGAAACTGGTAGATTATAAATGTAAAACAGAGCTTCTATGTTTATGTTCTCACTAAAGGTTCACCGCTCGCTCTAAGAAAATATTTTGCTTTTAAATATTTACAAGTTATAAGTTAGAATAAGTATCGGTCAACTCTACCACTTGTAATATGACTAATGATGTTGTAACTATGCTGTAAGCCCGGGGACATAGATTGAACCGTAGCTGAAAACCGTGTTGTAAAGAATGACATCTTGACAAAACCAGTTCTCTTTGGAATTTAAATTTTCCAACAAGTCCAAAGAACCTAATTAGTCACTAAAGTAACTTTTAGCCAATAGAAAAACAAAATATACCAACCCACTGACCCAGAGTGTTTGGTCTTAGCTATAACAATATCAATGGCCTGTAAGTTTTTTTTTCCTTGAATTTGAATAGTTAACTGTGGCAAAAAAAAAACCCTCCCCAAAATAGCCTGCAAATTAAAGAGGAAATTTCCAGCCATTTGCTTTTCAGGAAAAGAAGAATAATCGGCATAAATGCAAAAGCTAAACTTTGCTCACTGCGTTTAGTATAATTATTGCGTATTTTTGTTCGGCTTGACGCCAGGAGCCCTGACCATGGTGATTCATGTCGTCGTTAAGCAAATCTGGCTTCCCCCATTGACATTGCTTGTCGGAAGGGCCCCCCCTTTCCCCCCCGGGAAGGGCGTAAAATGGAAGTCATGGGGACACCCCCCCCCAGGACACTGATGCATGCTGGTGCCCCAAATTTTGATCACCTGATGGTGAGGGTCAACTGTAAGTCACTCTTTTCAGCACCCTCCTAACTTCGAATGGTCATTAAGTGAATAGGAAGTTGAGGATTTACTTACCTGTATTTATCCTTTAGATCTGGGCTCCCAGTAGGCCCGCTAGCAGAAAGGCCATCAGAAGGGGTTGCCTTTTGTTCGTTGGGCAACCTCTCGTTTGCTCCCTCTTCCCTTCCTTTTCATCAGAACCTCAGCACTTTTCAGATTCCTAATTGCTCAATTCTGATTTCTACTCCGGGGGGGGGGTTGGGTTGGATGTGGTGGCTCAGTGGCTAAGACGCCGAGCTTATCAATCGAAAGGTCAGCAGTTCGAATCCGTAATGCTGCATAATGGGGTGAGCTTGTCCCAGCTTCTGCCAACCTAGCAGTTCGGAAGCACGTAAAGAATGCAAGTAGAAAAATAGGGACCACATTTGGTGGGAAGGGAACAGCGTTCCATGCACCTTTGGCGTTGAGTCATGCCGGCCATGTGACCACAGAGACATCTTCGGACAGCACTGGCTCTTCAGCTTTGAAATGGAGATGAGCACCGCCCCCTAGAGTCAGGAACAACTAGCACATATGTGCAAGGGGAACCTTTACCCCGGGGGAGGCGGGGAGAGAGGCTTTATGGTAAATTCAACTCAATATGCCTCCTTTCCCCCCTGTTTTTATCAGAACCATCTACAGGCAAAGCGATTTCAAGAATATGTACTTCCGCAACAAAGAAGTGAGTCAATGATTGATGCCTTTTTGCAGCTTCCTAGGCAAAATCATGTTTGCCTCCACAACTATGCAACCATGGACAGACAGGGTGCTTCTTTGGGAAAGGCCTACCTAGGAGAGAGGGCAGAATCTCTTGGACTCTCTCTTGATTCCTTACCCTAGTTGACCAACTCTCTATGCATATACGAAAGCAGTGGGTGGTGCTTGAATCGTTCCGTTTATTTCTTGCTGCTTATTGTCAAAACTCCAGCATCTGATCAAAAGGTCCAGTCTTCAAAGGGAGTTAATTTTGATTTATTGAGGCTGAAGGTCTCCAAACATGGCAACTTTTAAGACTTTTGTGGGTTTCAATTCCCAGAATTCCTCAGCCAGCCGTGAATTCTGGGAGCTGAAGTCCACAAGTCTTTAAAAGTTGCCAGGTTTGGAGAGCCCTGGTTTAGGCCATCATGAGCTAAAAGGTTTACAGCTAGAAAGAAAGAAAAAAGAGGCAGGCTAGCTACTTTTTTTCTGCGTGCAAAAGGTTCTGGTCGGCTTGCTTGCACCATAACTTTTGGGTCAGTCTTCCACGCTTGTTGGTCATGTTAACTGGTTTTTCCCACGTAGCAACGGTGAGATTCATTTAATTCTTTCTTAAATTAAAAACTGCATCTGGAGAATGCATCTGTACGCGTCTGTGATTTGTCCACATAAATGGAAGGGTGCTGTTATTATGGCTACACTGCTTTTAATGGGGCTCAAATACATCTGATCTTAATTGTGTTCACAGGCATCTTTAGGAAAGCTCAAGGTAAAACTCATTGTTTTGTTTTGTTTTTAAATTCAACGCGAAATGAATTCAGGGTATAAATTTTAAGCATTGTATCGACTTGTTGAGGTGTAGCCAGACCAGAAGGTGTAATTCAGATGTTTCTTATACTTCCAACATAGCCACAGTGTTTTTATTAATAGAATCACACGTTTATTTAAAGAAACATACCTTTTTAATACTTTTCTCCGAGGGGCCTTTTCTAAAGGAAGCACAGAATATCGATTAGCATGGTGGAAGCAGAGGGTTTTGTACTACAGCGTTTATATATGTGTTTTTCAAAAAAAAAAATCAATCATGCTTTTTGGCTAGGCCCATGCAGGTATAATGGGCCAAAAAAAAAAAAAAAAGGGAAAACACAATTATTTTCCAACACTATATGCTTTGCCTGGATCTCTGCCTGTTGGGGTCGAGCCCTTTACTCATCCGTTCTGGAGAGTTAATAGCATCAGACTTCTTTAAAAGTGAACAGCTAATGTGAGATGTTTTTCCCCATTGGGAAAGAGAGATTCATGGCCATCTACAAAAGTAAGCAATTATTACTGTTCTATCTCTGACTCATCTTCACCGGAAATTACACTTTCCACCCATTGGAAGTTTTACAGTTGAACTGCTGAATTTCAGAATACTTACTGTATTTCTCTTGTTCGTGTAGTAGTAGCAGCAGCAGCAGAAGTATATGTTGTTCTAATTGTTACCTTAAGGGTTAACATTAAATATCCTGAGTCATTAATAACATGGGAATCAGAAACAGAATCAGAAATAGTACACCAAGTGTTAAAAAAATAATAATAATCCCACTTACACTGTACATATCATCAGTTGATTTGTGCACAGTTTAAGTGAGCTTGTGAATTCCACTAGGTTACTGAAATTGCAAGCCAGATAATCGGAAGATTAACATAGGAATCAGATCAAAAGGTGATTTTGAAACACACCATGCAAATTTACCTGAAATTAATTATACAGTGCCATGAGAGAGTTCACAATATCAAGACCCGTAGATTGCCAATAATAAAATACCCTTATATTCACAGTCTTCTGTAAAACATATGGGATATGCTAAGTTGTACTAACTAGACCTCCAAAATCGCTTTTGCATTATAAACTCGGTCAACCGGATTTGTTCAGATGTCATATTTTACCTTAAGAGAGCTCAACATGTACTGTTTTGTTATTTTGGGGGATTAATTTTTATCTACTCATTTTAATGTGGTGAGGTATACCCCGAGTCAGTTGGAATCAGGCAGCCTCCAAAATCAAATAAATGAAATAAACCGATCCGTCTCCATCCTTCTAAACCCATTTATAACATCAAACAGATGTCGCCCAAACATCAATCCAAGCTAACTCCTAACCATGTCAGCAGGAAATTGTGTTACTTGAAGCGAATCCTGAGGTGGAAGGTCTAATCTGTCTATTTTGACTATCCGCACTTTCCTAAGATTCAGGTTGAAGCTTCCCCCAAATTTTCCAGTCTTTCATTTTTAAATTAAAGGTATCCAAGATTATACCTAGTGTTGGATTTGGGGAACATCTGTACACAAAAACCATGTGGAAAAAAAAACATTTCATCAAACCTGTTGGTAGAAAGCTGCAGTGTTGTTTCCTTTTTCTATTTATTGTTTATCCTTTGCACTTTAAGTGTCAATACATGCTGTTGTATATTTGGTTTTTTTCTCCCCATTCCTAGAGTATTTCCTACCTAGGTGATTGCTCCGTCAATCCTCCATGTGTTTTTTGTGTTACAGAAACGGAGATCTCTTTGACTGACATATATGGCATCTGAACAAATTTAATACTTGATGTACAGTATATTTGTTTTTCTGTGTCCTAGCTTTAAGAGATCCCAGATCTCTTCCTAGTTTGCATAGATTTTGATTTGAGGAGCAGTTAAGGAGCTTGTTTGATTGCCCTGCATGCTAATGTCTGTGGTTGTATTTGAAGAAGAAGAAAAAAGTGCAATTTGAGTAGCACTTTGTGATGAATGAGTGAAAACTGGGCTTTGCAATAAAACAGATGATATTAATATGTGTTAAGTTGTGTTCTCAGTGCTCTTTGTATTTCTTTTCCAAGTGTTTAATAGTGGTTGTTAATTTAAAAAGGGGGCAAACTCTGAGAAATCCCATTGGGTTTTTATTTATTTATTATTCATTGGGCAAGCAATGGTCAAAGCAGCCTCTATGGACATGTAGACCGTAATAAATCTTTAAGGGCTGTCAATTGCATGATTGGCAGCACAGAGGAAATGGCCTGATACCATCTTTTGGCTTCTCAGAGTGAACTGTCTTCAGCCACATATATGCTTTCTTTCATTTCACTTTAAAACAAAACAAAACGAAGCTGCAAAACAAACAGATAAGCGAATCGGTCCAAGAATTTGGAGTGGGAGTGAGAAATTCTGTACTTTAACCGCATTGAAATCTCCCCGTTGTGAGAATTGCTAAAGAGAAGAAGTTTCGGTTTTAGATACCTTCCACTGGCATCTCCACATCTTCGTACCCTCTCCAGATGTCTCCGCACTCCAAAGATTTGAGTCAGTCTTCACTCCTAGAAGAGCATAAGAACTCCTGCGTCCAAATCGGAGCATTCCAACCGTCAGACCACTTTTACGTGACTTTATAATGCTTTAGGATAATTTCACATGCCTTAAGCCTGCCTGCCTGTTCCTTTTCGTGGAAAACGTTGCTTAAACGGGCAGTTTAAGAACTCCTCTTTTTTTCCTTCTCTCTCTCTCTCTTTCTCTCTCTCTCTCCCTGGTGTACTTTTGAAGTTTACATGTTACAAAACGGAGTACGGAAACGGTTCTTGGATTTAAGCGGTACTTTGTTTACATGTTCGATATAATGTTGGGGTACATAAAAAGGGTGTTTGTGTTTGTTTTAATTTAAAGCACATGGATTGTGCCCTACGGGCTTTTTGTGGCCACAGTGCAAAACTCTGGCAAAACACTGTATTAAGGGTAACCGAAAGCCTGTGGCCTTTTTTTTTTATTTTATTTTTTAAATGTAGTTTGAATTGACCGGGTTTTTATAAAACGTAAGGCAAAGTCTTGTATTTTGGTCTGAACTGTGTGCTGTCGTTTTACTTTGCATTGTATGTATCAGAGGTTTCTTAAAAACTTGAACTCTTTTATAGAAGGATGCAAACCAAAACTGAACTATCTTACAGATGGTTAATAAACTAACCAAATAAACACTTTATGGTTGCATACATATGCCGTCTCTGGCATGAAAGCTTTTCTTATATTTATTTGCTAATGAAAAGGGTGACATGGAAACGAAATAGGGAGTGGAGATAAATGGGATGTTTGCAACAGCCTGCCTACAAGCAACAGGAGTAATTGAGTGTGGAGATAATCACCGTCTCTGTTGTTAAAAGGTCAGTTCAGTGTTCTCCAAGGGAGGGGGGTTAGAGCAGAGGTCTCCAACCTTGGCAACTTGAAAACTTGCGGACTTCCAACTCCCAGAGTTCCTCAGCCAGCTTTGCTGGGATTGGAAGTCCGTAAGTCTTCAAGTTGCCAAGGTTGGAGACCCCTGGTTTAGAGCTCAGAAAGTAACCTGCTGCTCAATTTCCTATAGGACGAATCAACTGGACCCTGGTTGATACCACTTGCTGTGCCAACAAAGGAGAATGTATCTATAGCTCAGGGTTAAAACAAGGGGGCCGTGGTGCTCTCTCAGCTGGGTTCCTTTCTTGCAGACATTCCATTACCCAATGAAATGTCCACTAGAATTGATGATGTTACCTACTGTATTTTTCGGAGTATTAAGAACGCACCTTTTTCCCCCCTAAAAGGGGGTGAAAATTTAGCTGTGTCTTATACACTGAATGTAGCCCCGCCCACCCACTGGCCCCCACCCTTTGGCCTCTGCCTCGCAGCAGTTACCTCCTTGCAAGCAAACAGCAAGAAAAAACAGCTCCTTTCAGCTTCAGCACAGCCTAATCAGCACAAGTTGATTAGATCGGCCTCCCGACTCTCAGCTGATTTGCTCTCAGCTGTTTTGCGCAGGCCTCTGCTGCTTTCTGCAAAGAGGTAAATTGCTGGAGCAGATTTTTTTTTCCCCCTTGTGCTAATCAAGCTTTGCTGAAAACTAAAACGAAAGTAAAGCAGGCTGTTGGCTGTTTGCTGCAACGAGGCAAAATTGCTACCAAAAAAGGTAGATGCGTCTTATACTCCGGTGCATCTTATACTCCGAAAAATACGGTAGTTTGGGCAATGAAACGTCTTCAAAGCTCAAAGAGCACCAAGAACCCCACAATCTTCCTGCAAGAAAACAACTAAGTTCAAAGAGCATCAAGGAATCCTAATCATCCTCCTCTTCCTCCTCCTCCTCCCCCCTCTCCCTGCAAATCCCACTGTATTCTAGAACTGATGAGGTAATGAAACATCTGCAAGAAAACAACCAAGCTTAAAGAGCATCAAGGACCCCAGAATCCTCCTCTTTCTCCCTCTCCCTCTCCCTGGAAATCCCACTGCCTTCTAGCACTGATGATGTTACTTAGTCTGGGTAATGAAATGTCTGCAAGAAAACAAGCAAGCTCAGAGAGCACCAAGGACCCCTCACAAGCTATGCCTTAAGCTCTAACGTCTATTTGCTTCTGAGTTAACTGTCTTGTTTGAACCCAAGTCACCATAGCTATGCAACAATGGTTGCACATGCCACTCTTAAAACAAAATATGCCAAATGCAATGTGTGGCCTTGGTAGTGCAGCAGACTAAAGCACTGTTAAGTAACACCAGCTGCCTGCAATTACTGCAAGTTCAAATCTCACCAGGCTCAAGGTTGACTCAGCCTTCCATCCTTCCGAGGTAGGTAAAATGAGGACCCGGATTGTGGGGGCAATAAGCTGACTTTGTATAAAAAAGAACACCGCTTAGGGGGGCCCGAAAGCCCTACTAAGCAGGTATATACAAAAGTATGAAGGCTATTGCTTAACGCATTGTAAGCCGCCCTGAGTCTCCGGAGAAGGGCGGCATATAAATCGAACCAATAAATAAATAAATAAATAAATAAATAAATAAATAAATAAACAAACAAACTCAATCCAGATTGGCACTAATGAATGAAACTTTCATGGAGCAAAGGCAGGCTCCATGAAATATATAATACTTAAACCCTATACAGGTAGTCCTTGACTCACAACCATTCATTTAGTGACCATCTGAAGTTACAACAGCCCTGGGGGGAAAAACGACGACTGTTTTCACACTTACAACCATTAGAGCATCCCTATGGTCACGTGATCAGAATTTGGACGCTCGGCAAATGTCCTGAGGTCATGTGATCCCCTTTTGCAACCTTCTGACAAGCAAAATCAAGGGGAAGCCAGATTCACTTAAGAACCGTGTTACTCATTTAACAACCGCAGGGATTCGACTTGCAAGAAAAGCCCGCAAAATGGGTCGAAACTCACTGTACGAGTGTCTTGCTTTGCAACAGAAGTTTTGGACTCAATTGTGGTCGTAAGCCAAGGACTCTCCACACATTAATTGTATCTTTATAAAAAAAAAATCTGCAATCGGTTGACAGCCCTAGTTCAAATGCTTAACACGAGCTTTTTCACGAACAGAGGAGACGGAAAAAACCATCCTGCATCTACAAAAGGGCAAAGGATTATTTTTATCCGCTCGGACACACATTATCAGAAGGAATGACTGAATTGTGAATACACTTTTAGGGAAAGGGTAAGATTCTGGCACTGACTCTTGGGAGAGAGGACTAGGAACTGGCTTTTCCCCAAATCTGAAATCCTTACTCTATTGCAGCTTCCTTGCTCTAATCCAGAAGGGCAGATTTTACCAGAACGAAATTTCTCTCTCTCTTAAACACACACATTATCCATTTGCAACCGTCTAAGAATAGCTTGTATGTATTGGGAGCCAGAAGGAATTTTGAGAGGATGAGTTTAGCTTTCCTAAGGTTCTTTGCTCCATGATTCAGAGCAGGGAGTGTCCAACCTTGGCAACTTTTAGACTTGTGGGCTTCAACTCCCAGAATTCCCCCGGCCAGCATGCAGTTGAAGTCCACAAGTCTTAAAGTTGCCAAGGTTGGATGCTTCTGATTTGAAACTTTTCAGCCGTTGATTTTCGATGAACATTCAGAACTAATCTAGGTGTAATTTTTTGGTAATGAAAATGATAAAGCCCAAGGCAGGCTTATTACCATTATATTCTTTGATCCAAAATTAATCAAGATAAAAAAGCATATATTTTAAAAAATTACTCAAACCTATAAACAAGAATACAAGGACATGGTGGTTCAGTGGCTAAGACGCTGAGCTTGTTGATCGAAAGGTCGGCAGTTCAGCAGTTCAAATCCCTAGTTCCGCGTAACGGGGTGAGCTCCCGCTACTTGTCCCAGCTTCTGCCAACCTAGCAGTTCGAAAGCACGTAAAAAATGCAAGTAGAAAAATAGGGACCACCTTTGGTGGGAAGGTAACAGCGTTCCGTGTGCCTTTGGCTCTTAGTCATGCCAGCCACATGACCACGGAGACGTCCTTGGATAGCGCTGGCTCTTCTGATTTGAAACGGAGATCAGCACCGCCCCCCAGAGTCAGGAATGACTAGCGCATATGTGTGAGGGGAGCCTTTACCTTTATAAACCATCTAGTCAGCTAAAGCTCAATACTAAATTGATGCCAGATAAGGGTCAACAGAATTCAGAAGGGGTTGGACTTAGACTTTTGTGGCAACCAAATGACTCTAGGCTGATGACTTGCTTAACTCTGCCTACTCTTCTCTACAGCAAGCTTCACATACACCAAGAATTAATAATAGTTAGCTTCCACAGAACTAACTCTCCCAAACTTCCTCTACTACAAAGTCATATTCAAAGCTCTATTTTGCAGAAAACCTCTTTGCCATAATGATTTTTTTTCCCCCTAGAATTCTGGGGCAAAACATGATACTGTTTCTCAGAACATTCTACCATTATTTCGGTAAATCACATCTGTGTATTGTTCCAGGTGCTTTTTAAAACAGCAGTGAGTTGGGGAGGAACATTGATAGCCTTAAGCTCAACGTTGTCCCTTTATTTCTGTATTTTCTTTAGGCCTAGAAAAGCTCACCCGTGGCAAAATAAAGAACGGGGGAAAAACACCAATCTTATAAAATCTACGGAGCTCAGACAAACGTTAACATTTTTCTCAAAAGCCGTGAAGCTCAAAACAAGCCTTAAGATCTCCCATGACCAACTTAGAGCCAGCTTTATTTGGGTCTTTCGTCCGCAAATAAAAATTATGTCACGATTGAGAGCCAGCTTGATATGCAGGCAGTCACCAACTTACAACAGTTCATTCAGTGACCGAAGTTACAACAGCCCTGAAAAAAATGACTTACTGTTGTGACCCAGGCCCACGTAGGTATTATCAGACGCAATCAGTTTGAAACAAACAGACTTTATTAGAACAGCTGAGAATTAACTCATTCTCAGCGTAGTCCAAACTAATTCATAACACAAATTCTTCAGCCTTATCACCAACCTTGGTCTAATTAAGCAACCTGCCAAAGGTTTTTCTTGGCAAATGTTCAGAAGCAGAAGACGCCGACAAGAAATAAATGCAGCAAGACCAGAAACAAATCTATCAACTTTGTTTTCCGACAAAGAGCCCAAGAGCCGTTGCTGGTCTTTTAAGCCTTATGGGAGGGGCCAATCATCTGTTGGCCTTACTCCCGAGTCATCCTTTTTGCTTTAGCTGCTCTTGCCTTCTGGCAGCTCGTCTCATGCGTGCACTAGGGACAGGCTCCTCCTGTTCTTCTGCCTCTCTACTGTCAGCCTCCGGAGGCTCCAGAGTCCACACATCACTCCCAGATGGCCCTGGCCCCATCTCTGCCTCTGACGCAGAGCCCTCATCAGGGCCTTCCCCAGCCTCCAAGACTGGCCCATGTTCTTCCTCAGCCTCCTCACTGTCCAACTCCGCTACCAGCTCTGCAGGCTGCTGGCGGACCACAACACTTACGGCCGTTTTTCACATTTAACCACCATTGCAGCATCCCCATAGTCATGTGATCAAAATTCAGACACTTGGCAGCTGACTCATAGTTAGCAATAGCAATAGCCCTTATATACCGCTTCATAGTGCTTTTACAGCCCTCTTTAACCGGTTTACAGAGTCTGCCTATTGCCACCAACAATCTGGGTCCTCATTTTACCCACCTCGGAAGGATGGAAGGCTGAGTCAACCTTGAGCCTGGTGATATTTGAACTGCCGA